TCGTTTATCTCTTATATTCAGATGCAGATAGATGTTCTTGAACGATAGTTTAAATCAATTATTTTTTATCAGATAAGTTGTCAAGATTAGAACATGATACAAGGTTTTTTGTCCCTTTTTTTTGTGCATGTCTTCACTACTCTGATAAATCAATTTTTTTTGGTTCTAAAATTATCTATGCTAAAAAATTTGTTGCCATATCAAGTGATTAATATTTTGTATAAAAAACTTCTTCATTATATGTAATTTGCAGTTGATAAAACAGTATTTTGTTGTAATGTTATGAATAAACTATTCTATTGATGTTTACAGCATGTTTACAAAAAAAAAATTTCAGAATAAAATTGTTGCTAAAACGTAGTATAATTATTGCCAAAATAAGTTTAAAATTTCAAATTAAAGTGTAATTGTTGCGCGAAATAATTCTTTTTTTTCTTCTGTACTCATTTTTAGGCAGTTAATATATCTACCAAAATGAAATAAATGAATGCTTATTTGCAAAGAAACAAAGCAGAATGATTTAAACACAGAAGATTTAATTAAAACACAAATTTTTGGCTGAAAAAAAACAAAAAGGAAACGAGAGAGGAAAAATAATGTTAGTTTTTCGTTAATTTACATTGCAAAACAAAAAACTGTTATTAAAAATGAATGTAATTTGATGGTTTAAAATATGAACAAACCGGGGAAAAATGCCTGCAAAACTTCAAAGGTTTAAAAAATAAAAATAACAAACAATAAAAAAAGTTGTAATTTAAATTTTTTTTCTACTAAACAAAAAACTTGTAAAATTGTAAGTAAAAGAGGATTAATGTGTAAGCAGAAAAAAAAAAAATCAGAACTTGAACAAATTTTTTTGTATTTTCAAATTTCATCAAAGTCGGTGAATCAGTGATTACTGCGCAGGATTTTTGCAGGATTTTTTTGCAGGATTTTTTTTGCTGTTTTGTAAAGAGTAAGTTGATGAATAATTTTTCTATTTTTTTTTAGTAAGTATTTTAGTTTTATGTCAACTAAAGCTTTAAAAAAAAAAGAAACAGAATAAGAAACTGAGTAATAAGGAAGTGTTAAAAATTAACGATAATGATACAGAGTTCTGAAAAAAATTTAATTAACAATTTTTAGAAAAACTTTTTTTCTAGAAAAATTCAGAACAAACAATGAGAAATTTTTTAATTTTGTTTTTGGGGCGCATCTGTAGAGGAAATATTTTATCGTATATATATAT